AAAGGACACGTGGCACTCACTTAAGGGGTACCTGTTGTTAAATAGGTACAAGCCAAAGTACAAGGTTACCTGACTGTAGAATAGCCCAACAAAGTATTCTTAATACTAAATCTTACATTTAGTTTCAAGAACACGAGATTAGACCAAGTTGATACATAGCATACTGAATCGGTATATATGTGTGCAAGTTGAATTGTATTTTGGAATATTTTATAAATTTTCTGAATTGACCTAGTTAACATGGATAGTGACCAAATTCTGTCAATCCAGTGAACCCTAGAAGATTAATTTTTTTTTTTGCCAAAACGATAGAGACATTATCATAGAACTCAAAGAGGACAAAGTCCTAATACACCAAGTCAATACAAACAAACTCGAAAAGTCAAACTGGGAGACACACTCTACAGTGGTCTAAAACCTCAAGAAGAGGAACAACAACTAAAGAAAATAAATCATAGTGTAATCCCCTCTACTGCCCAAGCCTAGCAGAAGAAAATACACCTGAAAAAAAAAAAAAGGAAAAGAAACCAACAAAACAACAACCAAAGAGAAACTAGTCAAAGACAAGTTGCATAAGTGAACTGAGTCCAATCCGAGTGAGCAATTTGAACTACCTTCACTTCTGGCATGAGGGATGCTTGGAATACCCAAAGGTTCCTCGACTTCCACAGCCACCAAAGGATATAGGTAGACAATTGAATTCTTGCCTCTGAGACTTCAGGATGATCAAAGGTGCAAATTTTGAACCACCATTCATGGAAAGAATCAGTTCTGTCAGAAAGTCCTTGCCAAGATACAGGAGAAATGTCCCACACCCTACTAGCTCTGAAACAATTTAAGAAGACATGACCAATGGTTTCTGATGTTTCTCCACAAATAGGACATTTGTGATCAATGTCAATCTTCTTTCTTCTCAGCAAGCTTGCCACAGGAAGTGTTCCTGTTAAACATTTCCACAAAAAGTGCTTTAATTTCCCTGCAACTTTCACTTTCCACAGTATAAATTGAACTGACTTGCAGATAGATGAGCTAGCACGGGTTTCAGGGATGTCAAGTTGAGCAATATTTATTTTTGAGATAAATTTGTAGGTACATGCCACAGAGAATTGCCCTTTCCCATCCAAACCCCAAAAAATTCTGTCAGCCCTCCCAGGATGAAGAGAAGAAATATTGAGAATGGCTTCACTGTCAGTTTGATTAAGTACCTGCTTTACTAGCTAGTCAGTCCAAGATGAGCCATTTGATTGAATAAGGTCCTTAACCCATATAAGATGGCCTCTAGCAATACGGATAAGGGCTGGAGAAGGTTTCTGCAAGTTGGAGACCCAATTGAAGTCGTCTATCCTTGTTGTAGCTCCATCTCTGATTTCAATTTTCAACCATTTAGAGAAGAAGGGAATCATCTCCATCCAACAATTCCACATCCATGACCCCATTGGAGATTTTAGTGGCATGAGTGATTGCTGTTTGAGGGAAATACCTATCTTTCAGAATTCTGCTTACCAAGAGATCAGGTTGAGATGCCACTCTCCACAACTTCTCACAAATAAGAGCTTGGTTGAACACTTGAAAGTCTAAAAAGCCCAAACCACCATCATTCTCAGGTAAAGCAAGCAAACTCCACTTCTTCCAATGAATTCCTCTGGATTGTTGGTCTCCATTTTGCCACCAGAATTTAGCACAAGGATGGGAAATTTCAGAACAGAGAGTAAGAGGAAGCTTGAAGCATGACATAGTGAAGATTGGTAATGCTTGTATGATTGCTTTTAGCAGAACTTCCTTTCCAGTTGGACTCAAAAGCTTGGATATCCAATTCTGTAATTTGTTCTTGACTGAAGTCAGCAGGTACCTAAACACCTCCCCTTTTGATTTTCCAATGCCAAGTGGTAAGCCCAGGTACCTTGTTGATCTGTGGGAGATTATACCATTGAGTGCTGAACATATTGTAGCTTGCAGTGGCTGTGGAGTGTTTCTATTGAAGAAAATGGCTAATTTATTCAGATTAACAGCTTGACCTGTGGATAACCTGTATTTCTCAAGGAGTGTCATCAGAATAGCAGCTTGGTCAGCACTTGCTTTGCAAAGAAAAAATTGAATAGTCTGCAAACAGTAGATGAGTAAGTAATGGACCATTCTTGGAAAGTTTGAGACCTTTGAGATGTCCTGTGTCAACTGCTTGCAAAATCAGAGCTGTGAGAACTTCAGCCACAATTACGAACAGGTAAGGGGACAATGGGTCCCCTTGCCTAATACCTCTAGCAGGCTTCACATAACCACTCACTGTGCCATTAATTTTGAAAGAAAAGGAAGCAACAGAGTGTTTAGTAAAATTTTGGTGTGGGTAAAGGATAACCGAGTTACCCGACTCGGGTCGATCTCGAGGGAAGGCTATTCGGAGGTTTACTTACTATTCAATCGCTCAAATCACAAAAAGGGAAAATAAAGTCCTAAACATACTAATCAATTTGGGTTGAGGTTGATTAACACTAATTACGACTAGAGAAAGCAAGTAAACGAGCAACAAAGCAAGTGAACGAACTACGGAATCCTAGCAACTAAGCTGGTGAACAAAGTCAAGAGCAACAAAAGCGAAAGTAAGAGAAACGAACTCCATTTAGCATGCTTAAGAGCAAAAACCGAAATCCTACTACGAAATAACCGAGCTAAATATAAAGTCACGATTTTTCAAGTAGCAATCATCAATCAATCAACCCCAAGCACATAAACGAGCTCACAAAAGTAAAGAAAACGAAAACAACTAAAATAGCTACTAAAAATCCGATAACCGAGCAAGCCCTAATTACTTCTACGCACGAGATAGCAAGTAAGTACGAAAATCGAGATCACAAGGCTTAAAAGTAAGTACTCACATCTCTAACGCATGCTTAAAAGTAAGTACTCACATCCCTAATTACTTCGGCGTGCGCGCGGGGCTCTCGACTGGATGACTTCGGTTCGGAATCGACTAAGGCTTCAACTTCTTGGTTCGAACATACTCGCATGAAATGACTTGAAACTACTCGAAAACTCGACTTCTTCGAAAAATGCTCATCGCTCGGAATGTGGCTCGACTCTCTCTCTCGGAATATGGCTCAACTCGCTCTATCCTCGGAATAAACCTGAAATCATACCAAAGGCACGGGAAAGTACGCCAAACTATAAAATAAACAAGAAAAACATAAAAACACACGATAAACGACAAAATGGACCGGTCGACACTAAAACAAACCAAAAATTGACTCGAAATCAAACCTAAACACATAGAAAAAAGCACAAAAACACAATAAACAACTCCCCCACACTTAGCTCTTTGCTTGTCCTCAGGCAAATAAAACAACAAGTGGTTCGAGAGAAGAGAACGAACGACTCAAAATTAACAAACATGCATTATGCGACTCTCCTTATCATCCGGTTGTTCACAAAATTCGAATCCAACTTGAAAGCATGGTCCCCACATACGAATCCACAAAACAAAAACATGCCCCAAGTTGCTCAATCATGAATCACTCATATCAAACTTCCCTTTTTCAACATATACGTGCAAAAAGCAAAGGAACATGGTCTTCTCAATGTACAAAATAACCAAATAGCCAACTCCCCATTTTTTTTAGATATATGAGTCACTTTTTCCAAATGAGAGTTGTCGAGACGATTATTACTTAGGTTTACCCTCGAGCTGTATCATCGAGTTCCCTAAGTCAGTTTCCTGTACTCGTTGACTCGGATTATCTCGAAAGAGACTAACCAAGTCAAGCGGAGTCTAATCCGTCCAACTCCCACGAACTCATTTTTTATTCTCCTTTTTTTTTTCTTCTTTTTTTTCGTGGGCTTCTTTTTCAGAACGAGGTTTCCGGATATTGCTTATCTAGGTGTGACCTCGAGGGGTTTCCTCGAGTTTCCTAGACCAGTTTCCCGGGCCCATTA